ACAAAGAAGACTGAAACTCTCATTAAACCACATCTGTTGTTTCAGGTTATTTCATCTGTCTCATAGCTTCATCTTCTAATCGCTGTTGATCAAATGCTTCATATATTGTATTCGAATACAAAGCCCTGAGGAAACACATCATTCAAACACCACTGTGTTTCTAGTCATCTATCTATCAACCCATTTGTGCTGGATAGCTTTAGTGTCCTTGACATACCTGGGTTGAGGGAGCCTCAATCGGGGAATTGCCTCTATTGGACTGGCCTGTGGCCATGTCTGAAGGGCATCTTCTTGATGAGTGATGTGGGAAGGCCCAGCCCACTGTGGGTAGTGCCACCCCTGGGCAGGTGGGCCTGTATGCATAAGAAAGCAGGCTGAGCAGGGGCCAGGGGAGCAAGCCAGTAAGCAGTGTTCCTCCATGGCCTGTGCTCCAGCTCCTGCCTCCAGGTTCCTGCCCTGAGTTCCTACCTTAGGCTCCCTGATGAACTGTGACCTGGGAGTTGTAAGCTGAATAAATCCTTTCCTCCTCAAGTATTGGTCAGAGTGTTTGTCACAGCAATGAAGAACAAACTAGGACACCATCTCAACTTGTCCAATGGACCCCGAGCATTCACACATTTGTCAAGCCACCCCAAAGTCAATGGTATAATAATCTAACAGAGAAAATACTATTACTCACTTCAGAGAGGTGATATAGAGTAAAATATGTACACAGGATGCTCCTGACAGAATCTGGGCTAAAGCTGAGAGGACTTGGTGTAGATGCAAGTCCCTTAGCTGGGTACTGAGCTCAACAATCATTCTGTACTTAGGTCTCAGTTATAATGAATCACAGACTTGAAGGTGCCTCACAGACTCAAGATGTAGTATTAGAAAAACCATCAAGGTCTATAGAGTGCTCGCCACATAGCGGACATGGTATTACAAAAGCAGCAAGGGCTGCTTCGTGGAACCTGGATAAAGTGGGACACATTTTGCTACTGTAATTCTAGGTGACATGTTCTGTATCAAGAAGACTAAACAAAATGCTGACAGCAAGCAGGAGAAAGGCAAGAGAGAATGCATTTCCTTGAAATTATTTAATACTTTACTAAGACAAGAAATTATCTTAAGATTTTTTTTTGAATAGCGAAGCCCACCAATTAATCAAAAATTGTTCCAGTTGATAAAAGTGACCAAATTAATCACATACATATCTAATGACATGTAAACTGAGGGACATACACTTCATTCAGGCTACGTGATGCCTACAGCTGGTGTGGCATAAAGAAAAGGAGCTCAAGGCGGGTGTGATGGCACATGCCTTTAGTCCCAGCACTTGGGAGACAGAGGCAGATGGATCTCTGAGTTCAAGACCAGCCTGGTCTTCATTGGGAGTTCCAGGCCAGCTGGGGCTACAGGGAGAGCCTGTCTCCAATAGAAAAGGAGCTCAGTCAGTAGGGTGTTTATCTAACATGTATGAAATGGGTCAATCCCCAGAACCACATGAAAATAGGTGTGCAGGCAGCCCTCCAGCAACAAATTAAAATAAAACAACAACAACAACAATAACAACAAACCTAAACCCCAGTTTTTTTTAAAAAGGAAGGAAGGATTTCTAGTGTCAGCTACAAGGAAGGAACACAGAAATCTACTGAAGAAACTCTTTGAGGTGGTAAAAGAAGCATCTCTGTAACAAGGAGTCTCTCTGCCTTGGAGACCCTACACTGGCCCATCATTCCTAGCCCTTTCCCATTGAGAGGGGGATCCACTGCAGACCTCTTCTATTCCAGATTATCCTTATTTTACAGCTTCTTCCCAAATGGTAACCAAGGAAATAAATTAAAAAATGGTATCGGACTCCAGAATCTATCCCATCTCAGGAGTCAAGACTGAGGAGCCAATGCTGAAGGCCAGAGGGGTTGATGGGGGAAGCAGGCTGGTCTTAATGGAGCAACTAATTAAACAATGCCACAAGAAAAGGTTAGGGAATCGGTGAAGATCATAAACCTACTATGAAACTTGAGATCTAGACAGAAGTTACATGGTGGGTGATAAAGGCCCACAGAATTTTCCCAGTATGGAAATAATGAAAGAGATCTTAGAAACCAGGCACGGTAACACATACCTCTAATCCCAGTACTCAAAGAAGCTGAGGCACGACTATTATGAATCCACAGCCAGCCTGAGTTACGTGGTGATTCAAAGCCAATGTAGGCTATATATTATGACCCTGTCTCAAAAACAAACACCATCACCACCAATAAAAACAGGTATCTGAAAAAGATGATCAGCCTTGCTGGATAATGCACAGGGAATCAGAGTGGGGGAAGAATCTAGTCAGAAGAGCTGGAGGAGGGTGAGAATGGGGAGCTGGAATGGGAAACTGCCTCAGATTTGAACTTGCTACACAAGAAAGACAAGATAAAAGAAAATACTGAGGTTTTGAATCCAGAAATGACAGGAAGGAAAACACCAGAGGGAAGGGGACTATAGCACAGGGCATTGGCTTGATTGTCAAATCTGAAGTGAGAGCTCAATTCCTTGGGCGCTTGGGCAGCTGTTAGAAAGTATAAAATTGTTGAAAATTATACGAGAGAAGTATTGTATAGAAGCATATAGTGAACAAGGCTTTGACTTAACATTTTAATTCTTTGCCTGCTTTCAAAGTTTTTAATAGAAAAACCCAGTTTATGATCACTCTAGAAAACTAGAAGACATGTCAGTCATAGGTCTAGAGGAGACAATGCCCATCCCTTTAAAGCAGACAAGCACTGCAGTCCCCACAAAGTCCCTATTAACTAATTTCTATTCCTTGCCTTGCTTACCGTTGTAGGTTGATTTTGAACAACCAGAAAAAGCAACCCTATGGTAACTAGTGTAAAACAGCTATGCATACAACCAAATATACACACAACTAAATCTTTAGCTACCAAGAAACAGGCTGGCCAACCATTTGAATGTCTTCTCTCAGTTCTTTGCAATTCTCCTCTAATAACAGAAGGATCAGAAAACTTTTTGTTATGTAGCCCTTGCTGGTCTGGAACTCACAGAGATTCCACCCCCAACCCCCCATGCACACACACCTCTGCCTCCCAGGGATGGATTTAAAGGCATGTGCCACCACACCCAGCAAGACAGAAAACTTTTTAAAGAAAACAAAGGGTCAGTGAAATGGTTCAGTGGATAAAAGCACTTGCAGCCATGCAAGCCTGAGGACCCAAGTCCTACCATGCAGATCCCATGTTGGAAAGAGAATTAGCCCCCAAAACTTGTCCAAAACACATGTGCCATGGTACACACATGCCCACATTCACACACACATATACACACATCATAATAAAATAAAGATTAAATTAAAAATTTAAGAATATACAAGTGGCAGGTTGCGGTGGCACATGCAACTTGTTCAAGGCTAGCCTGGGCCATACTGTAATTCCTTGACTCAAGCAATACAAAACAAAACAAAAAAACAAAAGAAAACACAACTGAATATAAAATGAGGAACAGGATGTGTGTGGTCGCCTACACCTATAATCCCAGCAAGACAGAAGCAAAGGCAGGGAGACTTGCAAGTTCAAAGCCAACCTGGACTACACAGTGAATACCAAGCCAACCAGGGCTACGCAGTGAGACTCTATCTAAACTTAATTAATTGACTGAAAAATAAAATGAGCAACTTATGAATCAATCTAAATGTGATTACTGTATTCAAAAATTTCATTTTAAAAAATATATATTTTCATTTTATGTACATGAGTATATTGCCTGCATGTATGTAAGTGCACCCGTGTCATGCAGTGCCCATGGAGGTTAGAAGAGGGTGTCAGATTCCTTGGAACTGGAATTATGGATGGTTGTTAGCCCCCACATGGGTGCTGGGAATTGAACCAGGTCCTCTGTAAAAGCAGCCTGCACTCTTAACTGCTGAGTCATCTCTCAGTCCCTCAAAAATTTCTTTTTTAAAGGGTGACATATTATGACAAAGTAAAATCCCAGGGTGCCATTTTTATTCAGTGCTGAAATTTTATTTCTTTCTAGTCATTTATGCCCTAAAGCCCCGGGGGAACTCTGTCACCAAGCAATGCTGCAGATCGCCCTCCATGTTACTATCATGGCTCTCTCTGTACAAGGATCTGGGACCTGAGGAAACAGTCCCTCCCCACTATTAAGATGATACCCATAAGTCTTTGTTCTGATGAAAACCTGAACTGCAAAAGAAGTACACAGTGAGGATTTATTAAAAAGCAATCTCTCATCAGAAGCCGAGGTCTCATTCCTGTCTCTGAAGTAAGCTATGGGATTTTCTGTGGCAAACACTATCTGCTGATCTGTATTAACTCAGCAATTTTCATCCTATTGTCTTTCTATATTTGTGATGACTTTATAAATGATTGAGTAGAAATATGCCAAGGGGAAAATGAAACCCTGAGAGAGAATATCTACAGTATCATACAGTGACTAGGGCAGCCGTGTGCAAACAAACAACACAGGAAAGACATGAGTCCCATGACCTCATGTTGACACTCAGGTGGTCAGACTCTCCAGCCAGAGCCTCTGAGTGTCACAAAGAAGCACAGTTATTTAAGAATGTATCAGTTCAGCCAGGCATAATGGGTTGGCAGCACACATCTGTAATTCCAGTGCAACACCTGCCCCCCCCACCTCTGTAGGATGATCATAAATTCATGGCCAGCTTAAACAACTGAGTAAGATACTGTCTCCAAGTGTGTGTGTGTGGGGGGGGTACCAGTGAACCTT